ACTTTTTTAAATTCTGGGTAAATATTGACATTAATACTTTTAACACCTCAGTTCTCCCGTGACAATGGGTGATATGTGCAGACAGAACACCCGAACGTCGGGAATAACATAGACTGGTAAAGGAGAGCTGAATAACCAACTCTCCACTCGCGAACCGTATTTAGAGAGGTCATTGTGGGAACTATATAATGATAATAGTTGCCCAAAAGGACTCTGTGCACCCTTTCTCTAAACGTCCGATTCACCAGAAAGGCCATACAGGCCAAAGGCAGTCCCACAGGTGGTGTTCAGTGGGTGGGCACTTCATAATGAGTCCTACGTAACCACGCAGCCGGCTGCATGGTATGCTACGAGCCCCTTGCCTTGGGCGCAAAAAAAAACTAAAAGGACACTTTATAAAAACTCTTATTATCTTTATAGTTTAAAATTTAAATAAAGAGAGTATTGGCGCTAATAGCGCATTTTTTACAGGAGCATAATTTTAATAGAAATTCTATTAAAATTATGCTTCATGCACATCACTTTATGCCCAATTTATGTATTTTATAAATGCCAGCCCAGCACCTCAAATTATAGTCTGAGTGCTAAAGGGTACAGTTTTGGTTTACATAGTTTTAATCTAATAATAGCGCCATCTCATCTCATCAGTAACTGATCAAAATCAAATTAAAGACAATTCTATTAAATACTATTGTTGCAGCATCAAAATTGGACATTTTGATGCTGCAACAATAAGTATTTAATACCGACCGATAGTCACTGTCCGAATGATTGATCATAATTGTCACTTAAATCGAAATGACTAACAAATCTGTGTACACAAAAGTGTGATTAAGAGAGAAGGTCTTTAGTTGAATAATATGTTTGGTGGCAATCGACATAGCAATATTTTACCAATTTCTTTTTGTATCAAGTCCAATTTATGTAATTGAAAATTAAGTGAGATTATTATCTCTGTTTATGCCCAAATTTGGTCATATTTTAACGTCACCCAATTGCGTTCGAGCTGGTGCCTCACCCGATGGTATGCAGGTGAGAAAAACGCCGAGGTGGGGCGACCGTGCTCGACGCGTGGGCAGTCTGTCGCTCGACGCATGGGCAGTCGGTAGCTCGACGCGTGGGCAAAACGTCGGTGCCCCGCTAGCCACGAGGCGTGGAGACCATCAGGCTCAAAATTCGCGGCCCGTCGTGGATCTAGATAGTTAGATGAAGTACGTGCTTCTTCGTCACGTAGATATGTGAATTGTGCGATATTTAACTCGGGCGAGAGTGCGGGAAAGTGTACGCGCGTCTAGTAGATATACGGTCTAGGATTCGAGCCGTGCATTTCTAGTTTGAGAGCTTCTCCCGGTTAATTGTCAAGATATCATTATAATTGTGTCGTCGCGTTTAGTGCCCCTTTTGTGTTTTGGTTGGCTAGTTAGATTAATTCGCGTGTCGACGAGGCGTATTTTGAATCTTGCGCGACGTGTTGTTCTGGTGTCGAATGAAGGAACTTAGTTGTGTTTAACGCTTAATCTGTCGGGTATCACGTGTTCGATTCTATGATGAATGTGGAATTAGGCGAATTTAAGTTAGTTAAATGTACAATGAAACTAAGAGACTGAACTAGTGAAAATGAAGAAAGAAATGGTCCAGCGATCGAGCCTACTGAGCGATGCAGCATTTTGGGGCAGCCTGGAACTCGGTCGCTGCTGGTCGCCTAAGCTTGCTCAGGTCGCAGACATTTACACCTCACTGTACACTACTCGCTATTCACTATTACGCACACTCACGGCCTGCCCAAGCCTTGGTGCGAAGTTAGCTTCGGATAATGGTAAGTACTATGTGTTTCTAGCTTTCTCCCATATAGTTTATTGTGATAGAACATATTCCACGCGGCCATATTGAGGCCCGACCTGCGTCTGCTCGTGAAGTCTCCGCTGATGGGCCCCGGATGATTGAACCTTTGGAGGAGCAGCCGTAGGCCGTAACAATCTCTAATTGATGGAATAGTTCGTGATACCGTTGAATGACTAATTACGAAATAAATGTGGTCTACAATCGTGGAAAAGCTTCTTTTCAGTTTTTGTGAGTTTTATTTAAGCATGTACGAGATCCGTATAGCTCGCCGTAAGATTTAGCATAGCACTTAAACTTTACTTACTTAAACTGCCAATCACATTACATGACTTCCCACACGATAGATGAAGTTTAATAAATAAATCGACTTGAACAATAGATATTTTAAAAACTTATCGTGTTTACACCTCCATGCAGACTTGATAAATCGTCACCATAAGCCACTAAAACCACTTTTTGTGTAAAAATATCAATTGATTGATTTAAAAAATAATAATAAGTTCAAAAGTCATTTATCTTCTGAAAATGTGTTTCACCATTAGAATCCTACATTATCCCTGATGAACATAGGCCATAGAATATTTTCAAAAAAGTTAGGGATCCATATGAAAACTTCGTTAATGTAACCCAAGGTGTGAAAAAATACCAAAAAGAATCCTTATATCGCGTACGCTGCGGAAACTATTGACAATAGAGGAAAGTGATGTACTACAGTTTTATACAGGACATCAATATCTACAAAAAAGTCCGCGGTACCATATGTCTAATTATTAGATACAGTTATGTCACAATAACTAATTTTCCACGTTAAAGTATGCAATAGTAATGCCGAAAATTCCTTATATTGCGTACGCTGTGGAAACTATTGACAATAGAGCAGTGATGTACCTACTTCATTGATACAATCGGGCGTTACTTTGCGGAAACCCATTATAATGGGGTTGTTATAAACTAATTAGCTTAATTCCGCGTAAAGAAAGAAAGTAAAAGTCTTACATACTTGTAATAAAGGGCTACGACTGTGTGTGCTGGAACAGTTAGAGATATTAAAAAATAATAACGGTAATGTTGCACTGCTGAATTAACAAACAAATGTTTCCAACTGGCCTCTCTTAAACATGTTTAAGCCTGCTCCTTGATGATATATAGCCTCGCAAATTGGTCGTTTGTCACCCTCACGGTGCGGTGGTCAGCGTTTGGTTGCGTGGTTGTAGGGTAGGTGGACGCTTCGCAGTAGTTTGTTGTTAATTTCACAGCAAATATCGACGTACGTCAGGCGGTGATTGATCGCATGACGTAATCGCTCGCTACGTAATTGGAGAAGGGTTGCGTCAGCAAGTAGTATAAATAGCAGTAGTTTCGGCTCGCCGCTCACTTAGCGGCCAGCCTCCGCAGACTACTTCACTTCTACTTCACCTGAGGATGCCTCGTGTATAGGCGAAACACGTGTCGTATTTTTGAGAGTGGTGTGTCGTGCCTAGTGTGGTGGTGCTGGGATTAACGGCGACGGGTATAGTGCGCGGGATTGAGGGACGGTGGGAGGTCCCCTTAAAACTGGGCAATACACATCATTTTCTTTCTTTACGGGGAATTAAGCTAATTAGTTTATAACAACCCCAGTATCTACTTCAATCTTCAATTTTATAAAAGACGTCAATATCTACAAAAAAGTCTGCAATATCATATGTTTAAGTATTACAGTTATGTCACAATGACTACAATTTTAATGTTAAAATATGTAGTATTAACGCCGGAAAATCCTTATTACGCGTACGCTGCGGAAACTATTGACAATAGAGCAAAGTGATGTACTTCCATTTTATAGAGGACATCAATATCTACAAAAAAAGACTGCGATACCATATGTGTAACTATTACAGTTATGTCACAATAACTACTTTTTCATGTTAAAATATGCAATAGTAACGCCGGAAAATCCTTATTACGCGTACACTGCAGAAACTATGACAATAGAGTAAAGTGATGTACTTCCATTTTATAGAGGACATCAATATCTATAAAGTATCTGCAATACCATAGTATGTTTAACTATTACACTTATGTCACAATAACTACTTTTTCATGTTAAAATATGCAATAGTAACGCCGGAAAATCCTTATTACGCGTACGCTGCGGAAACTATTGACAATAGAGCAAAGTGATGTACTTCCATTTTATAGAGGACATCAATATCTACAAAAAAAGACTGCGATACCATATGTGTAACTATTACAGTTATGTCATAATAACTACTTTTTCATGTTAAAATATGCAATAGTAACGCCGGAAAATCCTTATTACGCGTACACTGCAGAAACTATGACAATAGAGTAAAGTGATGTACTTCCATTTTATAGAGGACATCAATATCTATAAAGTATCTGCAATACCATAGTATGTTTAACTATTACACTTATGTCACAATAACTACTTTTTCATTTTAAAATATGCAATAGTAACGCCGGTATAAACTAGGCCACATTATTTATACCTTGGTATTAGTTTTATATCAAAACAAATCACTTCGTATTCAAGGCTATATCAGTACCTGTACCGTGCATAACCATCAATTACGTTAACCATGTAATTTAAGTAACATTTTTCACTTTTTATATCTTTGTTAATTCAGCAACCGTCCGTCGTGATGTCTCTCTCGAAGTTCGCATGTTGCGCGGCGCAGACGCGTGATACGAGTATACGTGGGTAACACAAAAACCGCGGGGCACAGCTAGTCGGTTATAGAGTAAATGCCGACTTGGTTGGTCCTTCACTGCTGGTCGTATGAGGAAGCTCAATGTCGCTCAACGAGGTATGGAGAGGGCTTTGCTCGAGGTTTCCCTGCGTGCTAGGCTTAAAAATGTGGATATCCGCATTAGAACCAGAGTAACCAATATAGTCCAACGGATTAGAAAGCTGAAGCGGCAATTGGAAGGCCATATAGCTCGAAGAATCGATAACCGATGAGGAAGGAAGATTCTCGATTGGCAGCCTCGTAGCAGTAGACGAAGTTTAGAGCGACCCCCACTAGATCGAGTGACATGCACAAGATGGATGCAGGTGGCTCAGGACTGTGATTTGTGGCGTTCCTTGGGGGAGGCATACGTTCAGCAGTGGACTTGTGAAGAGCTGTAATGATGATAATGATAATGCCCATTTTAAATTCGATAATATCTCTAATTTCTAACGTCAGTTTACACCAAATCTATGGCTCTAATAGGGAACGTTGTCTTTAGAACATAAATTATTTATATAATTTTATTTTTATGTAAAATTTTGACTACATATTAATCCATAAAAAGGAAGACGCTGTCCGAATTAAAACTATTATAAAATTACATATAAAGAGGACAATATTACTTCAAAATAATATCATTATCAATACACGTTTGGTTGAAATAGTTTAACTTAAAACTATTCAAGATCTATAAACATCACATCTGAAATCTCTTAATTCGACTTAATACTACAGTCTCTGCTGTACATTACTTAACGCAAGTTAATATGCATAAACTAGGTAAGTAACTAAAATAAACTTCTAACTCTTATAATATATTACATTCATAAAATAATTAGAATTTTTAACATATGCTTTACATAATATGTAAAGCATAAATTTTCTAATACCCATTCCAGTTCTATAAAATGTAATTTAATAATCACTGTATACCCGGTACAAATATTTCATGCTGAAAGAATCCATTCCTTTAGGAATATAAAAGTTGGATTCATACATATAATGCCGTAGATTTAAATAATTTAAATTCGGTTCAAAACTTTAAGTTAAGTATAACTTTTTTTTTTAAATTAATATATATATTATTTTCTCAATCACAGTATGTTTAATGAGATAACGTTAAGATGGACTTGCGAGCAACAGAGAGTATCACTAAGTCCGAAGAACGTTGCTCTGACATCGGAAGATCTATGGCAGAACGACATTATGGAGTTGGTGTTGCTATTGTGTAACACTTAATTAATATAACTAAACTGTTAGACATTATAAATTATGCAACTTATGGGTTTTATAACGGTACAACCGCACCACCGAATGAGTTTTAAATGTCGGACTTCCAGTACGTTAGAACGTCAGAATTAAACATGGTGATTATATTGACGTCGGAGCCATATCGTTCGGAAGTCGATCTCGCGACTGAATCGTTGTGATACTGACGCGGCGACTTTGAAGGTACAGCCGCAGCGATAGAACCGCGTTACTCGAAAGTACACCCTCAACAATTGTATATTGTATAATGTAATTTCAAGCACAAATAATAATTAAATCCATACCATAAGAAATAACCTTCGTAAGGTAATTGACTATACATTACTATCTATCCATACCCAGAATTTACATTTTAAGTAGCTTGCCGAAAAACTAGAAACTTTGTCAAATTTATGTCATAGTTAATAGGCTACTAGTATTTTACAAAGAAAACTCGGTTAAAAATTTCAGTTAAATACAAATTTTAACCGACTTCAAAAAGGCGGGGTTTCTCAATTCGAGTGTGTTTTTTTAGCGATGTTAGCGATTGTGAATCAATTTTGATAATTTTTTTATTAAATAGGTTATGCTTCAAAGAATGTCCCATATAAATTTGGAGAAAATACTCTATTATACTAAATAACATTTTTTTAGCAATTTGAAGTCGGTTTTTACTTTTTGTTAAAAGTTATAATTATGTTCTTTTAGAATATTTTTACTCTATGATTTAAACACAATATCAAAAAATAGGTAAAAAAAGTAACAAAAAGCCCGTGTTTTTAAAGATTTGATAAGTCACATTAAATTTTTGATGCGTTTCTACAGCAATAGCCAACTTTTTAAAATTAAGCTAAGGTCTTTCAGGACCTTATAATATCACAAGAAATTGACAGTCGATTTGAATCTACCGATTGCTTATTTCAAAGAAACAAGTTAGCAATGCGGCAACAAATGACGTATTTCTGACAAAATTCCTCGTCGTTGGCGGCTTGTATTCTCTGGCGCAACGTGACGTCAGACGTGTCGGTCGTGTCGCGCGGGCGGCGCCAACGACATGGGGCGCGAGTCGAGCTTGCTCTTGTGTGTGCTCGGTGAGAGGGAATCGCTCTCCCGCGAGCGGGGCGGTGTTACCGGTGCTGGCGCCGCATCCGGGACTAGACGACGGATGAACTCCGATATACACGGCCATGGCACCAACCTGTAAAAGATGGATAAATTATATGAATTTTGAATATGCTTAAAAGTGTTATAATGTGCATGTTATATATTCTCGGGGTAGCGATGTCGGTACAGAGCTTCTTCTTCTTCAACTAACAGTCAATTGGTGGACGTGAGCCAAGATTCAACTTTATCTTGATAATATATAATTATTATCAATATCATACTCGTATTATCTTTTTCAAGTAGAAAAAAAAAACTTATGTTGCAATGGCACTCGCCTACACCTATATCACTACTCAATATCTTGGCTCCAAGTCTGTCTGTCCCAGAAATCGAAGCTACTACCAAGCTAATTAGAGGTCGTCACTGAATACCTATCTGATGAATTCGATAGATAACATTGCAAACATCTTTATATTATTTGCTGATACATTACTAAACACCAATAAATGTGTAGGATTTCTTGGACCCAACCACCAAAAATTTTGCTATTTCAGTGCACAAATCTACATAATCTAAGATTCCTGTACTGTTCCATCATTTATACGTGGTAGAGCCACGCTGCAGCTATATTATGGTTGTAGCACGAATGGGTCGTCTCTAACGGAGTAGGACCACGCTCTCACAGAATACCAGCGTAAAATAGGAGCTTAGTGCTGCTGTGTTTCTGTAGTGTATGCGATTTAAATGAAACAACCGTACTGCCAGAGAGCTGATTTATTACTTGCTCGTTCTTTCGAAGTACCAGTGCGCATATACATCAGTTTCATATGATGATTGTAGAGAACCGTAGACCCTTTTTACTGGAAACGAGGCATTGCATCTCAGTACTCAGGGGTGACAACGCATCTTCATTTAAATATTAGATATTTTTAATTTAGATTGATAAAGATAGAAGAAAAACTCAATACTAATTTTGGCACGGAACCGCATGATCAGCAGCTAGCTTACGACCACTAGGCAATCGCACGAGACAGTCATTTAGACTCAAAGAGATTTAAATATATAGGTATACTAACTAGTACTTAAATGTCTTTGGTCAAAATGCTATGTTAGAATCCGATAATAAATCCATCCAAATAATCCATACGGGCGGATATGGACCAAAAGACTTTTTAAAAGAAATTTGAAACATCCGGGCCCGATAGACGGGGCTGTGGTCAAGTTATTAATAAATTCTATATTTACACAGAAATAAGTTCAGAGCCAAAGAGAATTGTGAGTGAAACTCATCGTATTACGTATGGAAAAGGGCCAGAACAACGTCCATCGGGCCAGTCAGCACCTATATACCATAACAATAAAAATAGACAGAAAAATTTCAAATAATATAAATAAAAGGGGTAATACTCTGTTAAGAACCACATGAAATGTTAACTAGAGTTGCAAAAAGTATTTTAATAACCAAATGGAATGAGTTACGATAGTTGAAAAAATAAATATGCGCTCGAAAATTAGTAAAAGCTTTGAGTTGAAGGTCCATTCGTTATTTATAGTAATGGACAAAGACACATTAACATTTAAAACCGATAAATTCTTCATAAATTATAATTAAATATAAATTATACGATTATATTAATTTATTATCTGTAAGAATACAAATAATAAATTAACATACTAATGCAGTGTTATAGACAAAATGGAAATATTACCGAATTTATTTTTAATTATTTGATTACTTCTATACTGAACAAAAATATATGATAGTAAAATTGAAATTAGTTTATCACGTTTCGTCCTGTGAGCCAATTAGAAAAGATAACTAGGAGATAAGTAGAGATGGCTGTTTAACCATTACATATATACCAAGTAAAATACGTACACCTGCAATTGAGAAAATTGTCAACTGTGCAAAACATCTTGTAATTCTTGTCATCAAGCTGTATACGGCTCACGCGGAGCTTTTTTCATAGTAGAGGGATCAAATGAAAAGTTAATAATTGCGATAGCCTTGGCTTGCCAACCGTGACGATAATGATAATTTTTTCTAGCTATAGATAAAAAGCAAAATCGCAGCTGCTATGCGCAGAAATGAACAAAATTTTTGCATTCTTATAAGTTTGTGATTAATTGAAATTACGTTGGGTAAGTAAATAAATATAATCTTTAATTGATATACTACATCTCTCAGCTTTTCTATATTGAAATTGGGAACATGGCAATGGCAGCCCCGACGGATTAACTTGGGTTTGTAATTATATTATCTAATAGGTAGGTGAATACGTGTAGTACATACCTATTACTTATACTTATTTGACGTTATCGCTCTGTTTATCGCTACGACAAACAAAAAGGTACACAAAGGTAGAAAGAACTAAGTAAAGTCATAATTAGTTTTTATTGTGACAGACCTCGCGAGAAATCAAACCTTTTTAAAACACTTTTATTTTTTCTTTCGTGACTTACTCTTCTTACTCGGGGGTTTTTAAAATTTTTATGTAATCCTTTTTCAAATACATCTTCACATATATCAGTCGTGGGTTTTTCAAAACTTTTAATTTTGCTTTTTATTTTAGACTTTTCAGAGAATCCCTGCGTTACTGACTAAAAATTTGTATAACTTTCTATCCACTCAACAATTTACGAGTGGAAGAACTGAGCATGGAACAGTATCAGCTACTTCTGTTGAGTGCACGTGTATATATAGAGAAAAACTTTGTCGATGGGGAAGCTGTTCGTGTATATCCCAACTTACAACTCGTCAACGCATTTAATCAGAAAATGTTAAACAAACTAACAACGAAAATGTACGTGTTTAATGAAAGAGATAGGTCCAGTGAACCCAATAACTATGGACGGAAATCTCCACCTGCTGCTATTCCAGTGGATGAAAATAACACGGGAGGCCTAGTATCACACATAAAGCTGGGTATCCGTACACGAGTGATGTTAAGAATGAACATCAAAGTCAGCGCAGGATTATTCAATGGCAGCATGGGAGTAGTTCGGGGTTTTCAGTGGTAAGGGTTAAGAAGAGACCAGTCGAAGGATGGAGAGCTGCCGAAAAAAGTTTTAATCCAATTTGATGACCGCTTTATCGGCAGAAGTTACCATGATGGGTTATGATATGGTTGGGTAGGTATAACTCCAATGAGTGTATCATTTTATGGCAACCAAGGTGCTGGCTAAATAGAAAGGTTAATTATTCCACTCATATTAGGTTGGCCCGTTCCACTGCATAAATTGGAAGGCACTACAGTCGATAAAGCGGTCATACACCATAAACCCCAAACATTTGCCAAAGGACAAGCTTATGTGACTTTTACTAGAGTCATTACTAGTTTTCATTAGATGGTGTAGTAGTAACTGAAAACTCTTCGAAAATCTACGTAATAGCATAGCGTTGGAAGTGTTAGAGCGATTGAGAAGCTCGTTGCGCAGGTCACAAATCGAAGAAGCCGAAGAAAGGCCACAAAGCTGTCTTTGATGTAGATCTGTTGTTATGGCATTAAGATAGTGATTACTCTAAGAACCCAAATATGCTATGTGATATCAGCAACCGCATCTAAATCGGTCAAGCCGTCTCGGATAAAAATTTGGCAAAGTGAGTAATAAATGTTTATTGCAGCACTCCCTGGCGAGTTAACACCATAACACCTACGAGGGTGACACTGACAGTTCTTAGAAAATCAAAAACTGAACGAACTAGCAAGTTTTTAGTTTTATTATATCCTTTCAAAATAGTGTCCATTTACATCAATACATCGCTGCATCCGATGGAACCACTGAAAAAAGCACTTTGGCCACTCGTCTTTAGGGGTCTCTTCTACGGCATTTTGAAACGTAGCCACTGCTTCATCGGTGTCCACAAAACGTTTTCCACGAAATTTTTCTTTTATTTTCGAAAATAAATAAAAATGGCAAGCTGCGAGGTCGGGGCTATAGGGCGGGTGACCCAGTAATTCCACGTCTGACGTCGCCAAGTAGTCGATTGTTTGCTTGGCGATGTGCGACGAGGCGTTGTGGTGGTGAAGGAGGATCCTACTGCGAGGTTTTTTCAACCGAACTTTTTCCAAGACAAGTGGCAAACAATTGTTAGTGTACCACTTTGCGGTAACTGTTTTTCGATCCTCTAAAACAGTTCTTGCGTAATGACCTGTCCTTCCGAAGAACGTGGCCACCATCTTTTTCCCACGCTTCGACCTCTCTTCACTTTAGTTGTCAACTCCTCGGAAGGAAACACCTAGACGGCAAACTGTCTCTTAGTTTCATGATCATAACAATAAATCTTGAAATTTTCTCGCGTTAAATTCATGCTGACGTGACACAGACAATTTTCAATTTGCCGCTAAATCGTAAAAAATTCCCCAATTAAGAAAATACATACACAATAATATTAGCACAGACTTTTATTTTCAAAGTAAGAACTTATTTTTTATCATCTGGGGGCACGGCAGTGCCCCCGCCAAGTAGAGCAAAAAAGCAGCACGGCCGTACCATCCTTTTCTCGAAGCAGTTCAGGCCATTTTTTAAACCCTATTACTTCGTTGTGGATAAAACTAGAAATCTGAATTTTTCAAATTTCATCAAATTTGAACCAGTAGTTTAAGAATTAGAACTAGTCAAAGTTTCTTAATTTTGTCACACACACATATTATAGTGACTATCATCATCATCATCATTACAGCCCTTCACAAGTCCACTGCTGAACATAGGCCTCCCCCAAAGAATGCCACAAAGCACGGTCCTGAGCCACCTGCATCCATCGACTTCCTGCATATCTTACCAGGTCGTCACTCCATCTAGTGACTATATGAATATTAAATTTTTTTTTAGTTTTAAATAAATAAATTGACTTGGCAATCGCACTAAACAATCTAATTTAATATAATATGTATTACTTGAGAGATACATTGCGTTTTCATGCGATGGCCAATTCAATCTATTTATTTAAAACATATAAGATTTTTAATATTAATATGGTCACTATTAGATGTTGTTAGGCTAGCTAATTACGTAATAACTTAATAGGGAAGGGCCACCACGAGATGGAGTGACGACCTGGTAAGACATGCAGGAAGTCGATGGATGCAGGTG